AACGAGGCACAAAGGCGCCATTTGCAGCTGGTCCGGCAGTAGCTTACAATTTGAAGCGTTACTACCGAAACCGCCGCGGAGGCGTTCCAACACACCTCGCCGCTATCACCCTGGCCCAGAAAACAATAAACAAGGAAGTTATCGTGGAAACTATAAAAAACGAAGAAAGAAATTTATTGGGCAAGTCCACAGAAAGATTAGTCATGATACATGACTAAAACATGACTACCCGTAGACACTCAGTGTTTCTGCCTTCCGGCTTCATCAATACGGGAGGAATCAGCAACGATGAACTAGCGATCCTGAAAAAAAAGAAAGGAGAAGCAAACGAGGCACAAAGGCGCCATTTGCAGCTGGTCCGGCAGTAGCTTACAATTTGAAGCGTTACTACCGAAACCGCCGCGGAGGCGTTCCAACACACCTCGCCGCTATCACCCTGGCCCAGAGAAAACAATAAACAAGGAAGTTATCGTGGAAACTATAAAAAAAACGAAGAAAGAAATTTATTGGGCAAGTCCACAGAAAGATTAGTCATGATACATGACTAAAACATGACTACCCGTAGACACTCTGTGGACTTGCCCAATAAATTTCTTTCTTCGTTTTTTTATAGTTTCCACGATAACTTCCTTGTTTATTGTTTTCTCTGGGCCAGGGTGATAGCGGCGAGGTGTGTTGGAACGCCTCCGCGGCGGTTTCGGTAGTAACGCTTCAAATTGTAAGCTACTGCCGGACCAGCTGCAAATGGCGCCTTTGTGCCTCGTTTGCTTCTCCTTTTCTTTCTCTTTTTCAGGATCGCTAGTTCATCGTTGCTGATTCCTGAAGATGTGGAAGGCAGAAACACTGAGTGTCTAACGTAGCATGTTTTAGTCATGTATCATGACTAATGCTTTCTGTGGACTTGGCCCAATAAATTTCTGTTTCTTTCGTTTTTTCATAGTTTTCCAATGATAACTTCCTTGTTTATTGTTTTCTCTGGCCAGGGTGATATATCGCCAGGTGTGTTGGAACGCCTCCGCGGCGGTTTCGGTAGTTTCTTCAAATTGTAAGCTCTGCCGGACCAGCTGCAAATGGCGCCTTTGTGCCTCGTTTGCTTCTCCTTTCGAGCTTCTTTTTTCAGGATCGCTAGTTCATCGTTGCTGATTCCTCCCGTATTGATGAAGCCGGAAGGCAGAAACACTGAGTGTCTACGTGGTAGTCATGTTTTAGTCATGTATCATGACTAATCTTTCTGTGGACTTGCCCAATAAATTTCTTTCTTCGTTTTTATAGTTTCCACGATAACTTCCTTTGTTTATTGTTTTCTCTGGGCCAGGTGATAGCGGCGAGGTGTGTTGGAACGCCTCCGCGGCGGTTTCTGGTAGTAACGCTTCAAATTGTAAGTTACTGCCGGACCAGCTGCAAAATGGCGTTGTGCCTCTTTTGTTTCTCCTTTCTTTTCTCTTTTTCAGGATCGCTAGTTCATCGTTGCTGATTCCTCCTGTATTGATGTAAACAAGGCAGAAACACTGAGTGTCTATATATATATATATATATATATATAACTTATATTTATATATATATATATATATATATATATATATATATATATATATATATATAAATATTGTATTATTTGAGGGGCGTTTTCACCCTCTTGGAATTTGAGTCCTAAAGTCAATCTGCTTTCCAAAAATCAGCTTTTTACGTCAAGCGCTTTAAGCAGGATCGTGATTAATCAATGACCAGATTTTTCGAAACACCCTGTATACATTTTTAAAAAATCTTAAAATATGTAAAAAAACAAAATAAAATATACGTCTTTAAGCATTTTTTTATGCCAAAATTGAGCTTCTTACGTTGAGTGGTTTGAGCAGGATCGTGATTAATCAGTACGTCAGGCACTTATTAAGGATTTTATATATTAGTATAGATATACAATTTACTTAAGTAGTTCTAAATTGTTAATTTGATTTAATATATGATTAGGGATTTAATAAATATTTCTTTTCTAGAACCTAATCTTGAACTAGACATTCTTGATTTGATTGAGTAAAATTTATAACAATCTGAGAAAAAAATAAAACTACATATCATTTAAATAAGGTACTCATTTATTTTGTAAGAACTGCTTCATTTTTATAACAAAAAAAACAATAAAATCTGGGCAACAGGTACTGCTCCTGATAAGTCAAAACGTAAATACAATAATATATGGTAGTAAAATATGTAGGAAAAAAACGAAATTTTAATATAACAAAAAAACATATGCTGCCCTTTTTTATTTCAACGATATTTTCAAGTAAATATTTGAAAAATTGCATGTATGCATTTTTTGTGCGAAAGTTGTATATCAACTATTCATTTAATAAATATTAATATATATATATATATATATATATATATATATATATATATATATATATATATATAACAATTTAAAAGTACCTTATAAATTAAAACATATAAAAAAATATGAGAAACAAACGTGGAAAAAAAATTGAAAAGAGATTCATATAAATCAGGAAGTGAATTATAATTTATATCCAAACGACAGCATACTATATTAATATTTACTCAAAAATATCAATTTACCACTCGACCAAACATGAAATAGTTATTTCATATTTATTTTTATTTGACCAATTTTTCGAGTATTCAAACCAATTTTTATTTTAAATAAACAACTTTAAAACAAAATAGAAACAGACGGCTAACAATAAACATTTTTACAATATGTATACTATAATTTATTGCACTATCTTTTTCTGTCATTTATAACCATCTTCTAAAGATAAAAGTGCATTATTTGTTTAAAAGATTGTTCTTAAAAAATGATAATACTGCTTTTCCACAATTTTTCAATAGGGAAAAATCTTTGTTTATCCATCATACTCAACAAATATCATATTCATTTTTTGGACATGTTTATTTAACTCTAAACATCATAAGATTGCTTTAGGTCGATAAAGTTGAGCCTTTTTTTAATTTTCTTTTGATTTAACAATCTATAATATGTATTATGTTTATTTCTGTGTTTCTATTTAAAACACTTCTGGTAATAAGTATATATATATAATTTAATTTAATGATTACATTCCTGTTATTAATTTTATTATTCCAAATAGCTACACATTCATTTTTGTGTAAAGCTATATCAAAGAAAAGTTTATCATCAAAAGGTGTGCATCATAAAGAGGCCTAATATATGTTAAATAATTCAAATGACAGAGAATTTGTCATACACGTCATTAAATTTCCCATTATCAAACTATTGGGATGATTATTTGTTACCTGAGGAAACAGGTCACAATTGTTAATAGCAATAAATTTGGAAATCATGTTAAGTTTAAATTTTATTTTCAGCCTAGATATAATACAAATCTTTCAATGTCACAGAAGCAGTTTCTTGTAAGAATTAAATAAATATTTCTTGTGTTTTTTCTTTCATTTCATTTACATAACGAATATTTCTAGTTCCCTATGTATAGTTGCTAAAAAAACAATCAACAATCCAAAAAAACAATAATAAATAATAACTTAAACAGAAGTACAATTAAAAAACTAAAATCGACTTCCGTATTTTAATATTATTCTTAGAGTTTTGAAATAAATAATTCTTGGTGCAAATGTATAGTAATCTCAGACAAAATGAAAAAAACATCAGGAAATAATAGATGTATTTTAACTTCTATAATATTATTTTAAATAATGTATATATAAAAAAAACTTTTAAAATGTATTAGATAACCATATTTATCTAGTCAAAGATCTTATAGAGTCTTTGTAAATAATATTAGTTCTTTCTTTCATTCAACATACATGTCATGTACTAATTGGTTATTACCAGATCTGCTGTAATGCAAAATTATTTCAATTTATTTATTTTGTAATTTGTTGCAAGGGTAACTATTAAAATTTAAAAAAAAAATACTGTGTATATTCCAGGTTTATATAAACAAGTTTCGTCAATTTTAGTTTAATTTTATATGTCTTAAGATTCCACAAAATTACAAAATAAATATTTACAAAAATGTATAGTCTACATTACAGCAAAATAAAATTTGCTTATTAGATGGTTGCTTAGAGTACTGTATATTATAGGAGTTAAATTTATTTTATAATAGTGTCAAAATACAGTCTGTACTACAAAGATGTTATTTGGAAGGCTTTTGTAAAGTCTGGTGACACGGTCGAAATGTATTTTGATCATATTCACCATGACGCTGCGCGCGTCTCACCTGGACGCTGCTTGGATTGTATCGACCGATTTTAAGTCAGTTGATACGATCCAAGCAGAGTCCAAATGACACGCATGCAGCGTCAAAGTGAATTTGATCAAAGTATGTACACTTTGACCGTGTCAATCAGGCTTAAGTCATCTATCTCTGTAAATCTCATTATAAATAAAAATTATTTACTCAAAGCCTATTCGATTATACGACATTTTGATCATATGCTTCATTATCTACAATTTATTTTGTGCTAAGTCATAAAAGATGACATTTTTTACACACAAATGTTCTGTAATAACTCAAAATGATTTAACTTAAATTCTTTAGTTTTTAATTTTTCATTGGTTTCTCCTGTCATACTCTAAATAATAAGTTTGATTTTGGTCAAATCGGAATAAAGAACATATTATATGTTCTAAAATATACACTAAAGCAAAAAAGTATCTTATTAAATGGTTCTTATGAGAGCTAGCACTTAAGAATCATTTTTTAACTCCTATAATTATATTGTTTTTTAATTAAAAACACCATCCAATAAAGCTTTTAATTCCTTTCATATCAATTCTTCTAAATAGCACACATTCATTTAACAACAGTCAACACATTCGCCTTCATCGAACCTTATTATAGAACGATCCTTAACAACAACGGGAAAAAAAAAAGAAAATTACGTTATTAGTGGTATTCTTTCATATAGTGAAAGAACTGAAAACGTTCCCTTAAATATACAGTTTTATCAAAAAGTTTAATCGGCCGGTTTTGGCTTGACAGATAAAAGAATTCTAATGTTTTATGTAAATGTATTGATTTATTTCAAAAATTATATATTATAATTGTAGGGAATTAAAGTGACGGGAACGACTGATGCATATAAATCCATTCACTTTACACATAACAAAAAGAAACTAATAGACGACGTAAGTAAAAAACAATAGACTAATTGTGAACCAAATAAATCGACTCAATAAATGGGTTCAATTTTGTAAATCGATTCCAAAAACCAAACGAAAGAACACCACTATTATTACTTAATAATAACCGTTTTCACCTAAGAAAGAACGCGCATCTTCTTCCTGGACTTCTTTTCCTACGGAGGAGCAACAATGGTGAAACTACCAGAACGCGTAGCCGCCCTCGGAACCGCCAGCCAGGAACGTGTTCTTCTTCTGACCCAGCGCCACCTGGTGACCGGCCATGGCGGCTAATTGCGCGGCTGTAGGCGGGACGCCGGGCGGCGCAGGGGGAAGAACCTGCTGCGCGATGCCGTCGAAGCGGGCGCCTGTATCGTAGCCGTTCTGAAACAGGTGGGGATTCTGGATGGGTCTAAACGGCGTCCATTGTCAAGGTTGGGTTAGATTGTAATAATTCCAAAACAATTACGTAGGAACGGATATAGCTTAAATATAATACAGACTCTTGGACATCATACAGTTGATTTTTCTACAGGTTAGCTGGAGATTTATTCATTATTATAGAGAAAAACGTAAAATAGTATACCCTGTGGTGCATCGGAACACGGGACATAGAAAATCCCATGTTAATTTTGAAAAAGTCCAATATCTCCCCAGATGATTTTATGCAAAAGTTGTATTAGCCTTTTTGAAGAGGCTTTAAAGTTGTACTTTTGTGCAGAATTTCGTTTCATTTGGAGTAGTCATTTAAAAGTTATTTGCAAAAATCTACATTCAAATTAGTAAGACTTATATGGTCTAGATTTATAACATGGTCCAAAAATGCGATTGTGTCATTGTTAAATTCGATGTCACATTTTGTTCAACAGGGTGGTCCCAAACAGAGTAATTTTGTATAAAATAATTATGAATTTCGCAACTTCTGATGGTTAAATGGCATTTTGCTGGAAATAGTATTCGCGCTGATACAGTAGGAACGACTTCTTCCTGTGGAGCACACTCAAAAACCGTTTTTATGGGCATATTAAATACAGAAATTTACATGGACTGAAAACGACACCTCTGTTGAATGCTAAAGATTCTCCGTTTAACATTTGTATTGTGAGACGCGAATTTCACAATCATTTGGGGAAATTGTTTGATTGTGAATGAGGGATTATGTAAACCTTTTAATAATTAGTATAATTCAATAAAGTTCTTTTAGATACAAATGGTGGTAGATACAAATGGATGTATGTGGTATGAGCGAGACCGGCGAGTGATCGAGTAATGAACAGCAAACAAGTCATACACCGCGAATACTATTCTCAATTCAACTAATTCTTTTGTAGATAATCATTCCAATTCAGAAAAAAAAATAACCACCTTTTTCAAACCACAGAAATTCTTGTAAACAAAAAAAAATGTGACATCGAATTTGACGATAACAAAATCATATTTTTGCTGATATTTTAACAGTAGTTTTCTTAACGGTAGATTTTTGCAAATAACTTAGATGCCTATTCCAAATAAAACGAAATTCTAAATGACAATACAACTTTAACGCCTCGCAAAAAAACATTTGCATAAAATCATCTGGGGAGATAATATTTGACCTTTTCCAAAATTTACATGAGATTTCCTATATTCCGCATCACACGGTATAAGAGATGATTTCAGTCCTGTTTATATAATTAAATTATTCCTAAAAGTCTGTGACCACACTCTTCTCCTATAAATTTGGTATAAAGCCAAATTATGAAAACAACACAGTGCAATAATTTATGAATGGAATGTTAGGTCTATACTATAGGTTTGTTCTCACAGCGTGTTTCCAACATGTTTGTGACTTCTTCCAAACCGGTGTTAATGCGCAGGTCTCAAATAATGCAGTTTCTGATCGATTTCAAACTGTCTGTGCGAACAGCGAATCCCCTACTCTTCTTTTTTGATCTAATACCACTAATTTTAACTCCTACGTAATACCGAATAAAGAAGAAAACGAACAGGGAATTAACCTCACTTTTTAAACAGACCACCGCCTCAGATTCTTCGGAAGATTCAAAATCGCTCATTTCTTTTCTTTACTTTTTGAAAAAAAAAAAAAAAAAACAACACACGTTTTGTAGGTTAAGTTTACCAAGTAATGACGTCGCACAGTGATAGAAAACGCGAATCTAGAATTCCAAAAGTCCAATTTTTGGTTGTAAGATAATAACGAATCAATCACCGTTTTATCTTTAGAAATGTTCAGGAATCACAAAAAGTTGAAATTAGAATTTATATCTCCGTAAAAAAATTTTTTGTGGAGTTCCAAAAATGGTATAGTTAATTAGTAGGCATCGAGACATTATTTGCCGTTATTTACGCGAACTGAAAGAGATGTCAGAGGTATGTTGGGCAAATTGAGTTTACCAAAATTAAGATGGATATTTATGGAGTAAGTATTTGACTTTTTTCATGATTTACTACTACTCACAGTAAACACTAACAGTAATCTGGAAAAAACTGAACATAATAATAATCAAATTTATAGAAATTGGAGCAGAACTTTTTTGTGACTCGTTCCGACTCGGGCCTTTTGTCACTGACATCTTGTATAATCATTCTTCTTTTCAAATATCCATGAACCTCTTGCGTATACGTGCGTTTGTACAGGGTGTTCACAGTTAAATGGACCCCTCCATTAACTGTGTTATTAGGGTGTTCTATTTAAAATAAACAAGTTGACTTCTACTTCCGGTATAACCGGAAATGTCACTATCTTGAAAATAATTTTAAATTATGCACCACCAATTACCCAACAACTTTTGTATTTAACATTTTTTGTATCACTGTAAATAAGGGAAATATCTTCCCCCAACACATCGTTGACTCACCCTGTGCATTATAAATTTTACTTTAAATATCAATGGTTATATTTAAACATAAAAAGAAGAAAATAGAATAATTTTCGTAAGAAATAAAATATATTTTCTTACTAAGATACTTTTGGAATTCTAGATTTATTTTTTACCACTGTGCGTCGGGTCGCAGTACGCATGCGTCAGACTCTTACTTGCAAAAGATCCGTGAACAGGTCTGACTGTCAGCTAACAATCAAAATTTTCTGTGTGAACAGCGTACTGTTGGTTGGAAACCAATCAAAAATTTCTGTGCGAACGCGTTTTACCCTATTGTGCATGATTATCTGTTGAAAATATGTTTCTTACAGCTGTGAGAACAAACCTTATATCTACATCATTGTTTGGAATTAATAATTTCAGTTAGGGAATCGCTGAACGATTTTTAAGACATTTTATAACCACTAATACAGCTTATTCAATATTCAACTGGAGATCTCTGTATGGTCACAGTATAGTTTGTCCAGCGAGAAAACATATTCAGTTTTGGAAATATGGGAAGTTCATTGCAACTTGGTAAGTTTTTTCTGATTAGTAAATGCTCTGAACTTTTGTCAGATAAAATTATACTTACTGGTATCATAATGGTAGGCCTTAACTGTGCTGCTGGCTGCATGGCATAAGAATAGGCACCCAGAGATGGGTAATATTGCATGGGTGCGTATGTTGGATAGCCTAAATAGGTAGGGTAACCAGTAGTGTACATTGTTCCAGGAGGGTACATCTAGAAGTAAACCAACATTATTTTTAAATTATATGTATAGTGTGATTCGTGGTGGTAGTAGATTTTTCAGATTTCCTACTAGTGGCGAAAAAAACAATTCTTTTCAAGAAATAAACCTCCTCAAAGGTATAACCATTATTTGTGGTGACAGTAGGTTAGACGTTTATGGAAAACCAATGATAGGATTTTTTTTTAAAAATTGGGGTAGTAACATAAATTCATCTGCTCCGTCAATCTAAAATATTTTCAGCATTACAGTGTTCCTACGTCATTTGAAGTAGTAGCATCTTTGCTATTTTAAATGGAATAGTCAGTGTATCATTACATTTTTGGAAAAATTCTTTTATTTTTCATAATTTTTCTATTTATATTTCCCTATATCGAGATTAATGCTAATACTTTTCAAATAAAACGGCAATATTGTAATTATAAAAATATGTAATTTACATCAATGGAGTAGGTGCATTTATATGATCTATACAAAACTATAAAATTATAATAAATAATATATCGGGTGCGTCTCGAAAATAACTCACTCCTAAAACTTTTTAATTTTTTCAGTTAAAAAAAACGAAATTGGGTATGTTAATATATGACATAAATTAGGATTGATTGACGTATTCAATTGTTTTTGGTCACTTCCTGTTTCACTTGATATGTCTATGAACTTTTGATTTTTAAATGGCACCCTCGGTATATTTCTACTTTATTCTATAGAAAATGACACTCTCAATAGAGTGACATATCATATGTCAACTTTTAACATTTTCATTAAAAGAAATACAAATTTTTTCAAATGAAACAACGGTGGCTCATTAGCATATTTAGAAAAAACATTTTTTTACGAATAATTTGGTACCACACACTTGCTATTTTGAGTCAAATTGTCGTAATGAACCACATGTTCAAATAAATCATATGCAAAAATGTCAAAAGTTGACATATGATATGTCATTCTATTCAGAGTGTCATTTTCTATCGAATAAGGTAGAAATATACCGAGGGTGCAATTTAAAAATCAAAAGTTGTAGTCATTTCTGATAAAACAGAAAGTGACCAAAAACAACTGAATACCTCAACCAATCCTAATTTATGACATATTCTAACATACTAAATCTCGTTATACAGGGTGTCCCAACCCAATATTCCGTGGACATAGAACTACTACGTATTTTTGGAATCAAAATAAATTCATTGGACACAATTTACCTCTATACAAAAGTGCTTCGTTTGTCCATCAAACTTTAAAACAATAAACACATGTTTTCAGATATTTTAAGAACCGTTATTCCCATTCCAATGAGATTTTGGGTGTCTATGTTTTGCTAAGTGCTCTAACATTTGATTTCACCCCTATATAAATTTTAGTAAAAATATTTTTCAATTATCAAACCAAACAACACCCGTCAAAATACTACTTCTATTTCACTGTGAAAAAATCACAGGCAGTGATTTTCTGTCCATCTCCAAATATACATTTATCTATCGGAAATCATAATTTCTTTATTGTTTTCTTTATACACATAATAAAAGTATCATATTAAAGAAGCACAATAAAAATTAAATTTTAAGATTTTTTAGAGATCTACTTTCAGGATATTTTCCAGACAAAATTATTTTGATTTAAACTAGTTTCGTTTTTAAGTAACAGTAGAGGCAGTATGAATAAATAAATAGTCCTATTCTTAGATGTTAATAAAATAATTTCTTACATGTTGCCCCACTATGGCAGCAGGATGAGTTAGAGCTTGATCATAAGTTGGTGGTGGACCCTGTGGGTATATCTGAGTTTGACCTGGAATTACATACGGAGATCCAGGCATTCCAGGCATAACTGCAAAAAAAAACAAGCAAATTCTAATTAAAACGTGTTCAGATATCAAAATTCAACAAATCTTTCCTTAACTCTGTTTTAAAACATTTAATTTTTTATTTCAAGGAAATGAGATTGTTTAGATTCATTTCTAAAAATATCTTAAATATTAACTACAAACAGCGCTAGAAACAAATAATTGTAGATGGTTCGTTACAAATTCCGTAGGTCCTTAATTTAAACACGTAAAGTAATTTCATGACTAATAATTATAACATAATAAAACGACTAAAAAAACGGGCTCTGCCACTTTTGTCTGATTTCTGTCTTCACCATTTATTAATAATTCAAAATGTATCTTTCCTCCTTGACCGCCACTTATATACCTTCCTCTTACAGGAGTATGGCACCTCTCGCATGTACTTGTGATTTGTGTCATCAGTGTTTCACAAGTATACAGGATTTACAGTTTATCGCCGAATCCGAACGGCACTATTTGAGGGGCTGTACTACGCAAATATACTCAAGGTCGTTTACATTGCCTTGCTTGATGGCATCTGACACCTGACTCTATTTAGATAAATAAATACTTTTATTTTAAATAAATAATGGGACCTACTGGCGGAGGATGGTACCTCTCGCACCGCAAGTCAACAGATTACTTTTGAAGCTACAGCCGGCCACGTTATATTATACCTATAGAAGTTCAACTCAATTGTTCTGGAAATCGTTTTTAAATTACCAGCATTTTCGGCGCGTATTGATACATATAGCGCCATCTCACAGCCTTATCATCATTTATATTTTTTTTATAAAAATCTATCATTACAGTTTGGTTGCAATAAAGATCTCTTTTAGAGTTGGTCGTTTCTTATTTTATCGACAGATGTTACGCTAGCGGTTCGTGATATGATCCGTGACATTGGCTTTATCTAATCGATTCATATGAACTACTTTCATCTTATTTATTGGTCTATATTGAATTTGGTACATAATAGTATTTCGTCTTCTGGCCACAGTGTCCAAGGCTGGTGTTATTTCGAAGAAATCTCCCGCTTGTGCTGCGGTTTGCACACTACGTATTGCTGAGCTAAAATCTTGTTAACTTTGCTCGTAATGAGCTTTCTTGTCTCTAGCTACCTCACAAGAAAGATCAGCGTTACACTCCTTTTAATTTCTATTGATACTTATATGGCTGGTAGCACAGTATCAGCACTAATTCGTTAGATTATAACTGAATTGGACCCAGTAAAATCGATCTTCTAACAGGCTCAAAGTTCACTACATGATGAACTCCAGTTGTGGATAACGGTGGTAAATATTCTCCCTTAGAACCAGTAAATGCGTTACCGCAGTCCTATCCATACCAGAGGTTCCAATTGATTCCAGAGAGCTTTCAAGGACAACCCTCTGTCAGCCTTTACCACACTCTTCCACGGTGTCTTCTCCTCGTTCCTTTCCGTGAGACGTAATCTCCAGTATCCTGGTCATCTAACTGTTCTTGTGTCCATTACTTCGCCGTCTACTTATCTGCGCTGAACTTATTAGAATCTTCTTACAAAGCAACTCTTTTCGGGAATATATTTTTATTCTTTCTGGTCTGTCTTTATCACTCTTAAAAAATGGTCTTCCTCCGAGGTACCTCTCACGCCCGTCGTGAATGTTCCTTGTAAGTTCAACATCTTGATATATCTTCAAGTCGGCAAATACCCTCTTTACATTTTCAGGTTTATATATTATCTTTGTCTATCCGACTTCAATTCACCCTGGTTCTTGACTTAGAAATCAAACATATTATTCATTACAAATTTTCACGATTTTCCTGTAGTGATCAAAGGAAAATCCATGCTCACGAATGAGCCATACCCAGGACCATCCTTAAGATAGGCCACTAATATGCTGTGGTGTACCATCATATTTCCTAACCGCATTGGAATGTTGGCCTATTGCCTTACAGCGGCAGCGGCCAATTCTACCGAGTCACTGAACATAAATAAATCTTTCTTCCCAAAGGCTTCAGTTCCACCCCTGCACTGCATTAGTGTGTATAAACGACATCCAGGGCTAGTATCTACCTTCATTTGAATTATCTTCACTAACCATCCCGTTAATCTCCAATTTATCGGTAGTACGGCCACAGCTCCAGGATTATCCGGCCGGGTGATAGAATATCTATCCGTAGTTGAGTGGTCTGGAAGCAAACGAGGATTGCGTTAAGCAAGTCTGGGCGGGCCCATTCCCCGTTCGTTTTCCATTCGATTTCCTATCCTGCTGATTTCCTGCACTTAAGAAGAAACTCACGCAGATTACGAAATCTTTAACATTTCCTCCAACAGTATGTGAGTACTCACTAGAGTTCAGAACCGGGAAATCCCGGTACCGAAAGTACCGGGAATTCCCGGTTATTTTGAGACATCAAAGAACCGGAACTCGAAATTATTAATTCCCGGTTCTTTCGAGACTCGGTAATAATAATTAAAAACATATTTTTATTACGTGCGAAAGACTTTAGATACTTTCTAGCGGTCGAAATCAAACTCTTCTAAATAAATAGTGGTGCTATCTCTTACTGTTCTTACTTTTAAAGTTATTTTGAAGGTTTTAGGAATTTTGTCTAAAAGTAAGGAACAGGGGGAAATAGCCGCAAATGATTTTAATAAATATTTTTCAACGGTGGCAGAGCAGATTTTACAATTATTGCAAATTGATGAACACATTCAAAGTGAAATATTAGAACGGATTCCGGAAAGAAGTGACTCATTTTCACTTAAGGTCAATTTCTGACATACATGTTCATGGCGCGATTTGCAGCCTTACAAATTCCAGCTCATTTGACGTTTATGATGTTAACGCCAGAATTGTAAAGGAAATGTTATTTCAATTAATGATTCCCCCTTAAAATGCTGTATAATAAATGCATACAGAATGATATCTTTCCTGATTGCTTCAAAATAAGTAGAATGGTTCCTTTGTTCAAGAAAGGGGATATAAATTCATTAGAAAACTATAGACCAGTGTCTATAGGGTAATTCCATTGTAACGGGTGCGACATTTTGTATTTTTAAATATATTTTTTTCATGACTTTAGGATTATTGATTACCGAAAATCATAAGGAACTTTATTCAACTTAAGTTAGTGAAAGTCATGAAGTAAACAAACTGCACAAACATGATTCCAGAATAAAGATATTCTGCAAAAAACGAACGTAACGGATGCGACAGTGTTTTTCTTGTTTTCTTGACTAGGACCATGTTGAATGCTCCCTCCATAAAAGATTAATTTGGTGATAATTATTTAATAATTTTGTAAATAAAGAAGAATTAATATCAAGTATATGTTCTGTGTTGTTTTTTAAAAAAACTTTTTTTTTGTTTTTTCTTTAAAGTTGTAACGGGTGCGACAGTCGAGCGTAACGGGTGCGACACAGTAACTTGTTTTTAAATTTTAGAACATTTTTGTTCAATAAAAAAATTAAAGAACTTGTTAAATGTTGACTATGGTATAAAAAATCAATTTAAAAAAGTTTTTAGAAGTACACTAGAAAACAAGAAAATGGGGAAAATCATTTATTAACAAACTCAAATATTAAGTTTTAACAAACGAGGGATAAAATATATTTAAGTAAAAATAGTAACAAATTATAACTATGGAGACTTCAGGTAACTTTTCTCAAATATAGATTTGTAGGTTATAGCTGAAAACATAGCCTTGGAGCAGCGCTTTGAAAGTGGTGCTTCGATTGGATGTTGGGAAGGGCCCAAAGATCTTTCCATTTCTTTTCCAAAAATTTGGCTGTTTCTTGCACTTCTCTCTGTGACATAAATTGAAATAATTCCTTTCTCACAAATTTTGAGAAAATCGTAACAGTCTCTGGGACTGCGAAGTATTGTTTGCCGGGCTTTAACAGCTATCCACATGGTCCTTTTAGCCACAGCATCAATGCCGTCATCAGCCCTCTTACCGTAACCTGTTACAAAAATGGACCACGTCAAGGAAACACCAAAATCATCCTGTGCTGTACACAAGTTAAAAAGAGTAAATATGTTTTCGAATTGTGCAGCATATCCATCCGAAAAAAACAAAATGTTTGACAAGCCAGGGATTTTTCTACGTAAGTCATTAATTATAACTTTCAAAAAAAGCCACATGCAGTGCTTGCTTATTAAATCATCGCTGACTACCACGTAAGAAAAGAACTCTACTTTTATTGAATTTTCCGGTTCTAACCAGGCACATGCTGTAAAAATGGTTGCTTGTGGATGTCGCCAGTTTGCGCTTTGAATTTCGTCTTGTGAGATTACTTCAAAATTCTCTGCAAAGTCCAGCTGCAAGAGAATGTGTTTTGTTGAGCAACTGTTTCTATTACCGTGTCGGTTTTTTTCGCCTACTTGACTAAAACTGCATTTTCGGTTAGGTTATGGTTTTGGGACACTTAAATGTAACGGGTGCGACACTTCATAAAATATGGATGTTTGACATTTCCAGACTTTTACCAACAAAATGTCGTGTTCAAAACTAAGGCCATTTTATACTTGTAACAATCCTAAGTCCTTAAATAATTTTTCTTTTTAGATACCTAGTCATCTCAATTTTTATTTTTCCGTAACGGGTGCGATATGTTTATAACAAGTCATTTTTTGAGGTAAATAACCTTAAAGAATTAACTTCCTATTATGATTTTTTTGGTAAATGTAGGACACACAACCTATTTCTCTCCGATATGTGTATGATCGCCATAAATCTAAAAATGGCAGCTAGAGGACTTTATTACAGGAATAGAAAATCATGTTATGCAAGCAAAGCAATTGTACCATTAGTGTCGAATTTTTGAGAGTTCCATAAAGAGATAAGAAATTATTGTTCATATATTCAAGAGTCTGGTTCTTCGCCTTCACATTTAAGCAGATTTAAAAAAAATTAAAAAAAGTTAAATTTTGTACATGGTGGGGTATTTTTTTGGAATTACCCTATAGTTCCAATCTTTGGAAAAATATTTGAGGTAATCTTAAAAAATCAGCTTGAATAATACTTTAACAGCCATTTACTTTTAAACGACAACAGTTTGGTTTTAGGCAGGGCAGATCAGCGGTTGATGCCGTCTCTAAAGTAGTGGGGATGACGGTCGGGGGTCTTGAGCGGACATACTATTGGGGAAACTCGTCGTACGCAACAAAAAATTTTCATATGCAAAAAAAGCGGTCAGAATCATGGTTCATGCTGGCTACAGGGACCACTGTAAACTTTTTTTTTTTAAATTGAAACTGTTAACTTTACCATTTTTATATATCCAAGGTCAGCTTACGGAAATTCATAAAAATAAAAATAATTTCCACATTAACTCGAGCTATCATGGCTATTGCACAAGATCAGCAGAACTACCAAGTTCAGACTAGAAATTTAAAAAAAAATTCTTCAGATTTTGATTTATATAATGCCCTGCCTCTGGCAATCAAAAATCTAGATGTTAAAAAATTCAAAATTAAAATAATTAAAATAAAGGAACTGTTGATTGCTGAGGCATTTTACTCAGTCGAGGGATACAAAATATTTTTTTTTTAAATAAATAGAGTAAGTAATCCTCTGTTATGAAGTTTGTGATATTGGTAGAATTATCTTTTGTATTTTACTTTACTTAATGTGTTAAACTGGTATTATTATATATTATCATTATAGTTCGTTTATTTCATTAAAAAATAAAAAAAAACTGTTACATATTTGTTAAAGAGCGCCAATTAATATGATTCCAGTATTCAAACTACATTGACTACTTGCGTTGATTAATAATAATTACTCCAAATACTTAATGAGTTAAACTGGTATTATTTATATTCTTTGTAAAACGTAACTTGCTACAATTGTATTTTGTTCACAAAACGTAATCAAATAAAAAAAAATAAATAAATAAATTACAGATCTGTGTGACTTTGGGGGATATCTCTAGGCAAGCTATCCGTTACAATATTTATGATTGTCCGTGACAATATAATTGATGGTCATATTTTTAATTTAGAATTTTAATTTTACATATCCTCGAACAAAGATGCAATCTCTCGAACAAGATACAATATAATTTATTTTTATCACAATTGTATGGTTATGATACGCACTTCTTACAAATAAGTTAAATTTTGGATGTATTGAATTAATGGTTGCCGTCAATAGGAAATAATTCAGATTGTTACATTTAAAAAAAATGAAAAACGCCAACAGAAATACCGCCTAATCCCTTTTTGCCATGGTCGGTTTTATTCTGTTAAAATTTAATTATTTTGTAATATATTATTTTTAGATTTTTTTTAAACAATTTATTATGTATATTGACAAGGTTTAGGTTTAAAATATCTGTTTTTATATCCTATGCTATCGTAAACTTAATATTTTTAGTTCTATGTATCCTATTCTTTATCCACTAAAAAACATAAGCGTATGTATATTTGTGTATATTTGATATCTCCGTCTCGAAAGTCTCAAGAATTCCGGGTTCTTTTGACACCCTAGTTCACACTTAAAAATACCCAACACCTAAATATCAATTCTAAATCACCAGTATTAAACCATCATGTTAAATTCGGTGCGGTCAGCTTATGGGTTATAAAGGCAATAAGTGTAGGTTCATAGTTCATATCGGCACCGCTTGAGCGGCGAGCTTTGCGCATATGCCGCCTTGGGCATTGTGGTGTTCATAGTGAACGAACGGTGCTTTGCTTTGTCGCTTGTTGCTGCTTAGCCATTACAAGACAATTGCGTTGGTAAAAATGCATTAGTTCATAGAAAAAGTGTTTGCACTATGTGCGCATATTTGATTTGGTTAGGTTAGGTTAGGTTAGGTAAATATTATGAGAAGACAAGCCTACCCACCAAATTTGGTCGCGATCGGACATCAACTTCTGACGTTTCTTACGTCAAAACTAACTGTCAAAGTGACACGTGTCGTACACGGTCAAGTTGGATTTGGTCCAATCTATCGACATACCCAATTCCATTTAAATCAGACGATTTTTTGATTTGATTCGAGCCCCATCTACATTCAGAATTTGATCCCCCTAGCCCACATAGGGCCCGAGTTACGACGCTTCGTCTTAACCTCCAATCGTTACCACTTTTCCTGAGGCTTCTCGTGTTTCGCGGTTTCGACTTTTTACTCCCATCGCGCGTAAAGAAGTAGTTAAAATGCACGTAAAAGGCCTACTGTCCACGGAGGCGTAGCTTCATAGACGCTTCAAAATACGCCGTGCAGCTGAGCGTACTAAACTGTGTCCACAAAGTGTATTGCAGGTGTACGTTTTTATCTAATTGTGATCCCATTCAACGAGGAAGACGACGATTATATTGGACGGATTCATACATAGAAAGGAATATCAAGTGTAGATTCGTTAGATACTAACTTGTCCATTTTATTTCATTTGCCACTTCATTTCACCAATTCTTACATATTCAGCAAGGTTATTCAGTATGGCATATTTTAACCAACTTCAATTATTATGAGCGTTTATTGATTTAACGAAAAACAAAACCTACAAATTACTGAGTGTACTAAAGATTAAATTTGGATTTATCTTAGAGTTTAAACCAAAGATTAAACTTCAGATTTATCTTAAGATTTAGTGAACGGTATAAATATGGCCCTATTCAATGGTTCTTTGGTACTTACCTCCGTAAGGTTGTGGCGTGGGTACAGCCGGATTACCTTGGGGTGGGGGTTGAGGGGTAAAAGATGGCGCTGATGATGGAGGGGGAACTGCACCCCCGATGGCTGCAAAAGCGAATTCAGAACCATTTACACTCTATTTACAAGTTATCTACAATGGTTTACAGTTAAAAAACGATATAGTTCGTACGTATAAGTATATGCAACAAACCTCTCAATCTCAGTCTCATTCTCCTGTACGTTAATCATTCTGTTTTGTGTTTCCTATACATTTTAATATCATAACGATCAATATCGCGCTTCTTAGTTGAATAAAAAGCACGTTTAAAATTAGCGGATTTATAGTAAAGTTGTTTAAATTCATATAGTTCTAGTTACTTAATTATTAAAAAGCGATGGTATTGCAAAGAAATGGCATTTAAAAAACTTTAACAAAATATTAACTCACAACATAGAAAAAATCAAAATTTCTTCAAAAATATAGCGTAAAAAAGCGCGTCATATTATTTACACTGTTAAGACACCAAAATAAAATAAAAATAAGAATAATCGCGATGTTTACGAAAAAATATTTATAAAAAATACCAAAGGACTTATAATTCTAGGATATACACAATTTACATTTATTAAGCCTAGACAATAACTTAAACATTAAGAGAAATATAAAAAGTTTTTAAATTTATATTCTTATTTTTTTATTAGTGGTACAAAATAATTATTCTGGTTTTTAAATGTTGAGTTAGGGCTCGAACACACTGACGACCAGGTCGCACTGGCCAGGCCGCTGCTACCTCTAATACCATTAAACCAAATGATACCGCGCACACTAACGTCCTGGCCGTCCGTTGGTCGTTGCGAGTAGACTGCACTAAAATATTATTATTTTCTGTCGCTTGTTGCCGGTTTTCTTCCAAATTCATAATTTTTCAAATGAAATCCCTCAAATTCAACGCACAATATTTTATTTTCTATAAGATATAGTGTTTTAGTGTAATTTTTGCACACGCGCAGAAAATTCAAAGAAATAGTATACAGACTGGATCAAAGGGAAACTTAAATCTAGTCCCTTTTTTATCAAGGGTCGATTCTAGTAAAAATTCAAAACATTTTTATATGGCATACTCTACTTATGGTTGGTATGATACCTGTTTACCTTCGAGTTTCGATGTTAAAAAATTAAAAAATCATATTTAAAGTTTTTCTACAACCACTTGTTTTTTTTTTTATTAAATTATTTTTTTAGTTGTATTGTAGTCATGTACAAGGAGGACAATTGTATTTTAAATATTATATATTTAATATAACGTTTTTCAAACAGGGTCCATTAGACTATATTTCTACTAGGTACATTATTTAAAAAAAATAAGAGTAAAAGTAACTTAAACATTCACAAAATAGAAGTATTTACTGTTGTAGATTCTCAGTAACGAAAAAGAGGAATTTATATTGTAAACATTGAAATAACTGGAAGCTAAACTTTCTACCTGCTTATATTTAGAGCCAGTGTCTGACGACTTTTTTTACGATGGCCTTAATATGTTTACTTCTTAAGTCAATAAGAGCCATCAGTAGAAGTCCATATTAGTAGAAAAAAGAAACAGAATATCTCCCTTTTTGTCGGTCGCGCGTACACAATGCTTTTTGTTCGGCCTATTTGTTCTGCTTGTTCGTGCGCGCTCGGTTCGTTCGGGCTAAAATGCTCAAGTCTGGACGCACCTTTAGGAACAATACTGTTCCTAAATGTTAATGAGTTACATATCTCACTCTACACATATTAAATTACATAGACGTAGAATGTAGAATATTCTGTTATGAAACGACTGATGGAATAGCAGGCATCGCAGATTTGAAAAACATGGAAATAACGACGTTATCGTGTAGTCGGGGTTGGAGATTTTACTTACTCCATTTACCACACTAGTATTTATTAACGAAAAATCCAAGAATATTTTAAATGCATTATTTAATATTAGAACATTTAATAAGCTCATGAATAGCAACTTCGCTTTTTAGTTAACTCGGATATTTTAACATTTCTGAAACTTAATTCTTTCTGAAACAATATTTTCTAATTAGCAAAACGTAAAAAAACGTTAGATCTGACAACTCTGTTGAAACTGGTCGTTCATCTGGCCGCAGCTATAAACGCAATACATCCGGCCAGCCGACGGCCAGGTCGTTGCGACCTGGTCGTCAGTGAGTTAGAGCCCTTATACAAATATTCTCATAGAACCAAAAGAGTTTAGAAAACCATTATTTATAATCTGTAGATATTAGGAGAGACTTTTAATTTAGTAGATGTCACTGCATATACAACTAACAATACGTTCTAACATTATAACATTGCAATTAATAACTCGTTTGATTCATTAAGGTGTGAGAATATAAAAAAAAAACATTTTCGCACTTGACACAATAATTTTTTTATTCTTTTATTACTGGTCTAAATTACTTATTTTTAAATGGTAAAATGGTAAGGTTTAAGTGTGATAAACCTTAATCAAATTTGCCTTTATTTCAGTCAGAGAAAATAAAAATGTAGTAATATACAGGGTGTTCCATTTAAAAAAATACAACTTTCATATTTTTTATTTATTTGGGACACTCTGTATCTTGTAAAAATATTTCTAAATTGTAGTTCAAAGTCCTTGAAACGAACCCAAAACTTACAATTTGTAAAAATCTAATCTAATCGCAATTTATAATGCAGTTGCATATGTTGACATCACCAATTAGCATAAATTTAAAATTACTTCAACTGAAATTATTTTGAAACCACTTTATTAAAAAAATGATTACTGATACTTTTTCGAAAAGACTCTTAAAATATATCTTATATAACATGCAAAAAATGCTTAGTTTTAGGTTATTAATTAAAAAATGCCTATCTTTTCTTTAGAAAAGCCTGACAAAACTAAACATTTTTTTAAAAAACCATGCAAAATAAATATAAAAAAACATATTTTGGTAAATATAAATTTAGACTCCGATAAAATTACCGAAATATGTTTTAGAAAAAATAAGAAACTAAAAATCTCAAAATAAAATATACATGCAAAAATAAAAAATGTAATAAAATATATTCGATGTAGCTTTTACAACTTAGTTGTTTAATGCTAAGTTGGAAAAGTATATATCATGCAACGATGTATAAGTTTAGAAAAAAATATTTTTAATAAATATATCCAAAACAGATAAATAAAAAGCCTGTTATACTTATATAGTGTGATCAAGAAATTCGAACGCATAGGATGTTAGTTAAGTTTCTCAAAATAATTTCTTTCTGAGATGCATGAACTTTCAGCAAGAATAAAAAACATCTGAAAAACTTAAACTTGTTCCCTCTATGTGTCCAAATATTTTAAACACGCTGTATCGTTGAAATTATAGATAAATTAGAGATGTTAAAGAAAAAGGCTAATATAATAATTAAAGTTTTCATTGTAAATAAAAAATACGCATCTACATTCAGAAGACGTTATCCTTTTTCATACATCATTTTAAAGAAAAATTGAAAAAAAAAGATTTTGATAAAACTGAAAAAATATTTCATTCTACTTTTTTACATAATAGTTCTACGTCATGCAATTTTTAAATAATTAATAGTTTTCCTGGGGTTTTCTAGTCATATTATTTCTAGTTCAATCACGTCAATAAGTAAATAATTTCTATACCACTGTTGCTTTCCTTTTATTTCACCTTAAAATAACTCCTGAATATGCCAATGAAGTAAACACTTAACTTGAACACAATCTTGCCTCCATAACAAAAACTACATAACTATTGTGTTGCTTTAGGTAAATTTGTGTTAAGTAAACTACTTAAAGTAGATTTTATCATTTCGGAAATTTTCTGTACATGGTATTTCTTCCAAATATTTTTGTTGGCTAGAGGACTTGTTCCTGTCCATGTACTACTCAAAATACATAGGTATTTAATTTCTGGAAACTGTAAAAGTCCTGCTTTCTGAAAATTGCACCACCCTTTATATATTAAAGGAAATATAAAAAACCTAAAAAATACAAAGAGGAAAAAAGTTTCATGAACAAGTGTTTAGAATCAGATACGTCCCACAATATAATTTAATCTAAGTATGAGTTGTTTTCTAGAAAAAAAAACATTTAAATACCAATTAATCACCTAAAATTCTTGGAAAATTTAGCTTTAAAACACCAGAAAAACCATTCAGACTGTCGTCTAAAACCTAGTGAGGGTTTTACTTAATCTAGATTGTTCACATAATAATAATAAATAGTTTATTTCCAAAGAGAACACTATTATAGAACGTAAAATCCAACAAAAAAATACCAAATCTCCCACATCTTAACCAAATCTGCAAATCTCGGTAAATCTATATTCCTATCTATCAAATGACATTAATTACTTAGTAAATTCATATAATCTCATTAATAAATATGTTTTATTAGATAGTTCATTTAATAGACGAAATATATCCGATTGTAAGTTTATAAAAAAGTTAATAGCGACGAAGATAATAAATATCTGTGCTTCAGCAGAATAATATATAGCCAACATGTCGTAGCAAATATTTGGTGGAACCCTTAATTAACCCTACACCCCACACACTACAAAAAATACGTAACTTTTCTTTACTTAAATAGAAATAAGATATAAAACTCGAAGAAAAAATTGTTAACAATTCCTTGGCACTTCATTGTGACATTCTTATTTATGCGATATTTTAAAGATATAACATAAATTTGTTCATGCTGTTTTTACAATTATTCTGAAGAATTAATAAATCAACCGATGATGGTCACTAAACGGGCTATTACTGAATGAAATAAAAAAGTGTCATAAACTATATTTAGTATATGTATTATAATTGGACATATTAAGCCACGCTCAAACAACTTGTGTACTTGGCAAACGTCTGTTATTGGCATTTACTTGCCATGTTGTGTGAGTGGTTTACTTGTGCAATTATTTGTCACTTATCGCGTCGTGTGAGCGCCAAGTTTGCAAATATTGGTGTACTTGTCAAGTACACGAGTCGTCTGAGTCCGACTTTAGATATGTAGAAAAATATTTTTTTATAGGAAAATATAAAAATAATAAATCCTGATATTCCTTACTAGTATTAATATAAAGTAAACAAGCATCTTTGTGTTTTGAATACTTCACATGTCATTGACTGTTCATGAAAAATTTAATAATATCAATGAAGATTAGAGTTACGTATTTTTTGACAATCATCATGCAGTGAATAATTAAAGTAGACCACAAAATCTCTAATATTGGACCATTGAGATATGTTTTATACATTGTCAGCTACAATTAAGTAAATAATTTTTACGTTTCTACATTTGCCTGTGTTCCAATCACCAAATTCTTCAAATTAAAGATATTTAATTGCAGCCTTGCAGTAGAAAATCTGCTAAAATATAAATAAATGTACTGGGTGTGTCATTCCCTTGTTCATATCATATAATATCCTGCAGTTGCATTCTAAGCAAGCAGCTTGTAAAAATATTCCTCTTATAACTTAAAATTACAGGCAACTATAATATTTACTTTTATTGAACAGACCCTTACTTTACATTTACCATTATTCTTTAATTAAATTGTAATTTTAATTTTGTATTTTATTAAGAAAAATTAAGATAAATATATATTTTGAAAATCCCATAAAATATACAGAAAAGTACAAACAAAGCTTAGTACTACCACTTAAATATTTTTTAATATATCCTATGATGTCCTTCTAAGATTGTGTCTAAATTTCATTAGAGCTCTAGAACAGAGGATACTGAGACACCCAATATAAAGAAGCTGATACCAGTTTTCTTCTGTCTGTTTCTCTGTTCAAAGAATTTTATTCTGTAAACTTTGCTGATACTAAATATCTTCCTTTTTTGCTACTATATGCAACAGTAAAAGTATAATAATAATTAGGTCAAAAATGTATTATAAGATTCAGACTAGGTATTCATATTCATATTACTTCAATCAATCAAGGATTTCGATGAGTAAACATGTGGAAATCAAAGGCAAAGGTAGAGCAGTAAAAACCAAAAAATCTCCAACCAAAAATCTAGTGAAGGTAAAGTCGTTGAGCGGGTATATAACCAACAAGCATCAGCCACTGTATTAAAACACATGAGAAAAGAAATAAGTAAGTACTGTTTTTTTCGTGGATTCCGCCATGGGTCTAGCGCTGCTGGTCTTCTTTCAAATCCTAAACCATATACCTCCTCAAGTTTTGCTTGTAAACACTGGACCCCTAAATAACACAATTAAATAAAGTGCCTGTTACTGTACTGCAGTATTTTGCAATGCAGGACAAGGCTATATGTAAATTTGCACGGGTCAGAATGAGTCAGGACATCTGGGTTACCTGGTCTAGAGTGAGATAACCCTATAAAAATTTTATTGATTTTGAACATCCTGCATATAAATTTCTGGAGGAACTTTAAATCCTCTAATAAAATAACTACTCCTAATATTTTCGGTACCTAACAATCAATCGGTACTGTTAATATATCAAACGTGTCATCCTGAACAGGAAATGTTCACTTTCCGGAGAAATTGTTAACAAATTATTTGGAATTTCAATGGAGGATGGATGGCATCATTTAAGCAGAAATAAATCTCGCACTAGAAACTCTTACCTTTCTTATCACTCATGTTTATTTGCTTCCTATCACAGACACACACAAATCACGAAAAATAAATTGATAGGATCGAAAAATTAATTCGCCACCAAAAAGATTTTTCTTTAATTTTTAACACTTCTTTAGCAATTGGCAAATCAACACTTTAAAAAAACTAGACGGTCTTTCGATGTTGCCAGACTATCATCCCTGAATGTACTGAAATTATTCGGTAGATAGGCAACCAAAAATACACTTCAATTAAAAAAGTATAAAATATTTTATTATATTATTTTGTTCTACAATTAATTATGATTTATGATATCCAGGATATCCTAATATTGAATAAAGATCTAGAAAACGTGTTTATATTATAGTAATTTATAAATTATATTTATAGCAGCCATCTGATAAAATAACGTCCCATCTAAAATATCTATGATTTTTTACAATTATACTAAAAAAATGTATCTTTTATAATATACCTAACTATGATAGCGTTTCACTGAGTAATATACATATAAGAAATAATTAATAATACATATTATTATGTAAACATCTTGATAAATAACAGACGTACTATTTTTTACAATTGTGTTAATGTTTGAACAACAAGCTTTGATTAATTTTAGCACCTACTTTATCCTAAATCTATAAATAATTTATGACAAAAATCAACAAAACCTTTTCTGAAAATTTTACGTTGTTTTATATTTTATACATACTATTTTTTATATATCGACAGATCTGAAGGTATTTAAAACACTTTAATAATCTCTAATAATAATAACAGAAATTTAACTAGTTTATTATATTGTTAGTGTCAAACTTCTTCAAACCTGTATCCCAAATAATCCCAATCAAATTGAATAAACTATTTCCATATAAATAATAATATTCACTTTTGCAATTTAAAAATATCAACTAAAATTCTTAAATTTATTTTTTTTGGGGTTATTGACAACATTGCATTTTCTCCCACCCCCAAATAGCTGTCAAATTGGTAAATGTCAAATGTCACAGGTAAATGTCAATGTGACATTGACAACTGACAACTGCTAATTTTTTTTGCCAAAATAAATAAGAAATACAAAAAATAATGGCAAATTTACCAACTGGTTTGATTTCTCATACGAGGAAAGTTCAATCTTTGTACAAAAAAGCTTTAAGATCTTTGGAAAACTGGTACGATAGAAGGTAAGATCTCGATGGAAATATAAATATTGGAGCCTATGTTATGTAATTTGTTTTTCTCCCTAGAGAAGTTTACAGGTATTATGCAGTTTTAATGAGAAAAAGATTTGATGATAATGCATGTATTACTGATATGAGGGTAGCAAAGGAACTTATCTCTAAAGGAGAACAAGAATTGCGTAGTACAGCACACTGGCATCCAAGAAAATGTAAGGCGGGCCTTGAATAATACTTTTATAAGTAGTTTAATGTTCGATTACCATAATTTTCAGTCCCTGATTCACCTGGTGGTGTTGCTTATGGCAGAGAAGTTCCACTTCCGGATTGGGTTCTTGATTATTGGCATCCATTAGAAAAAGCCCAGTATCCCGAGTATTTTGCCAGAAGAGAACAGAGAAAGAAGGAATTTGTCAAGCTTTGGGAAAAACAGTACGGACCATCTTCAGGGACACCTCATTAAATTTGTTGGTCTAAATTATTTGATAGAGAAAATATAGTTCATTTTTAAGTTTCAGCATGTGTTTTGTAGTTTAATTATTTGAAGAAAGCATGCATATTTGCATATATCTATTGGAATAATATATATTATTTTAAGATAATAATAAAATAACTATAGTGCCCAGTAGAATGAAAAAGTTTATGTGCCTGGTATCAAAGTTAATTATTAATAATTCAATATACTTTATGTAGCCGGATTGTCTTTACAAGAGGAAAAACTTTTTTATTACTGACATTTTGAGAAAAATTTATTCTTCATAAAAAGTTCTGTTTTTCTAAAATAGTTAATCCCGTTTATACTTTTCCAAATATCCATACCATTTCAGAAAAAAAAAAACATGAAAATGTAGTTGAATTTTCATAAGTCTATGTAAAAGTCCTAAAAATTAAAGGGCGCTTCTATGTTAATATAATTTCGATTTTATTCTTTGATAGATCGTTATAATCAGTTATAATTAATTTTGATTAACGTCATATTTTTGAAGTTGTTGAAGTATCACATTTTCCAATAACTAGTATCACCTTTCCGTTACATTGAACTAAATAGATTTTGTGCTTCTTTAACATTTTAAAACAGCAAAAAATATGACGGTAATTAAAATTACATCAATAACAGCACAGAACACCCTGTTAAAGCATGAAAACGAAATTATATTACCCGATATTATCATTGAAACGCGTTTTGATTTTTAGGACTTCAACCATATTTATAAAAAATTCAACTATATTTTCATGCTTTTTTTAATTTTCTCTAAAACGGTATGAAAATTTCGGAAAGTATAAACGGGATTAACCATTTTAGACCAAGCAAAAATGTTCATGAATTTTTTTCAAAATCTCAATAATAAAAAAGTGTTTTCTCTTGTAAAGGCAATCCGGGGACATGCTGTAGAATATTATCAAGGTGTGTGGCGATATTCTGTCGAGGACCGGACAAAGTAGAATAAAAGCGAGTTCTGTAAGATCCGCAGCGATATACAGGGTGTTTCAATAAACATGTGCCATATCTCGTGGGGAGATTCCTCACGTAAAAATAAGATTTATTTTTCATATCAACATAGGTCCGATTCTGCTTTGTTTAGTAGCTACAGGGTATTAAAGTCTTAATAATCTTTCGATTTATTATAATTTTCTTCCAAGTACCGTATGATCGAAAAAAAGGGGGTCCAGTTGGCTTGGAAATAACTATCGATGACATTTCCCATATAATTTTACATATAAAATGACAGCGATCTTGATTTCATAGCCATGGTTGACGCCGTTTATATTCGATCATACGGTACTTTTAGTCATTCAAATGAAATTTTTAAGAGTAAAAGTTACTATAAGTGCTATAAACAGGGTGGTCCGAACTGTATTCCGGAAACTTGGGCTGCATATTCTGCAGGTAAAAATAAGTAAAAAAGTTCGTATAAATGTATGTCCTAAAATGCTTAGTTTCAGAGATACAGGGTGTAGAATTTTCATTCTTTTTTCGATTTTTTCCAAATAATTTCTGAAGTAACGTTAATATTTAGACGAAAATTGCTGTCTGGGAGTTTTTTGACATGAGAAATTTGATTTTTTGATATCAATATGACTCCTCTATTTGTAGAGGGCGCCACCTACATGTGTTTTAATTGTTTTGAAGAGTAATAACTTTTCGTCCGTACCTGTATAAAACTACTGGGTGAAAACATATACATTTCCATCATTTTCTACGAAAAACCATCTCTTGGTAGAAATCGCTACGAGCAACCGTTCTCAAGATATTTAGAATGGAAACAACCAATACATGTCGGGGGTTGACAAAAAATTAACATATGTGGAAGTTATCTGACTAAAATGATAAATTTAGGAACTTTTTATTTTTTTTAATTAATCATAAATTTTTATTCGAAAAAATGGCGATAAAACAGTTTCTGTTGAACTTTTGGCAAAAAAACATTTCAAATTTATGATTTCAATCTAATAACTATTTGGTCAACATGTTTAATTTATGTCATTGATGACAGGTATTGGTAAATTCGATTCCAAATATCTTGAGAACCATTAATCGTAACGATTTTTACCAAGAGACCTTTTCTACGTAAAAAACATCGTAAATGAATATTTTTTACTCAGTAGTTTTATACAGGTATGGACGAAAGTTATTCTTCTTCAAATAAGTTAAAAAATATGTAGGTGGCGCCTCTGCAAGTAGGAGTAATATTGATATCAAAATAAAATTTCTCACGTCAAAAAACTCTCTCCCAGACACCTATTTTCATCCAAATATTGACGTTACTTCAGAAATTATTTGGAAAAAATCGAAATAAAAATGAAACTGCTACACAGTGTATCTCCGTAACTAAGCATTTTAGAACATACATTTATACAAACTTTTTTACTTATTTTTATCTGCAGAATAAGCTGCCGAAGTTTCTGGAATATAGTTCGGACCACCCTGTATAGTGTTATATATTTTCGAGAAGCCCATGCCAAGTTGAAACAAGAAATTTAAAAATATACAGGGGGTTCTATTTAAAAAAAAAACATAAGTAGTAGTAGTATCAAAATATCTAAAAAAATATTTTTTTCGAAAAAAATCTGACTGCTGCATTCTACACAGAAAATTGCCTTTAGAATGTTTAGTTCATTTTTGCGTAGTTGCTGAAATAAATAAGCTATCGAACATCTTCAGAAAGTACAAAATTTGAGAATCCCTCTGTAGATGACTCTGTAGCTTCGAACCGATCAAGATAGCCACGATCCGTTTGGGCCATTGTAATTTTTTCAAAAAAAAGAACTCGAGACTGTAGTATCAGAATTTGAATATTTCTCACGGTTTTCTAGATACCATATAAAAACAACCAAAATGGTCCACCCTGTACAATCGAAAAATGGCTAAAATATATTATAAGATCGAAGAAAAGGCGACGAGATTTGAAATGATTGGTTTAAAATGATGATCGCTGTTATATTGGAAATATCGACACGCAGTATTTTTCATATGGCTCTCTCAACGGTAAAATACGAGAGAAAAATTGTTGGGTGGCTTTGATAAACATTTACTGAGGAAAATGCCATATGAAATATAAAACCGCAAATATCTGCGAAACCATTAAAATTTTAAAATAATCTAAATACCAAAAATGTTAATTTCTTAATTCTCCTTCTATTAAACAAATAATATACAGGGTGTTCCATTAAAAATAAACGAAGAAAAATTATTTTATATTTTAGAAAGTTTGGCGTATAATTTTGAACATCCTGTATGATTTACGATTTCCATATTTACAGCAAAGTAAGTACAGACTATCTTAACTAAATACCTAATACAGTTTTGATTTCATGACAGTTCTTGTATTTATAACATTTTTTTTAAGAAAGGCTGAAAAATATATATTTTTTATTTATTTATTATCTCTGAACTATCGAAATATATTTACTTACATCTTAGGATTATGTAAAGTGGTCTGAAAGGAAGCCAAAAATGCATAATATACAGGGTGTTTCATTTATAAAAATCATCCCGATCCACTCACACTTTTTTGAGCCACCCTAGAAGTTAAAATATTTTCCTGAAATACATCCTAGAACATATTTTAGGTTTGCACTTAAAATTCACAAGTTTTTTTTATTCTAGGAGCTACAGATGCCAAACGCACTATTGCCGATGACTATCCTCTATTAATTTTCTCCTAAAGTTGACCTGGTCCCTAGTAAATATTTTAGCTTCCATCCACATTTGCATTTATTTATTGGAGTCTATAATCTATGTTTTTAATATCTATGGGACCAACTAGGATTGGTAGAAACAATTTAACCGCGAAACAAACGACTAAGGAGGTCGATGGCGTCAAAAAATTCGACAAATATGACGACAAAAAAAATTCTCTTCTTTTTAATTCCTTAGCTTTCCTTGACGTTCAATTCCGTTTACACCTAATTGCGATTATGAATTATGAGACATACATTCTTTTTGATTTATCTGGTATACCTACTAAAGATCCCAAATTTTATTTTTTTATTAGAAAAAATAAAAAGTAATAAGGGTAAGCCACTTTTGAAAACCATTCGGTATGTATAATGTTCTCAGTTTGAAGCCAAATAAAAGATTTAATAAAATTCTTGATATTATTTCTTAAAGCCTTTGAATAAGCTTAAAGCGAATGAATAATAAAGGTAACGAATTAGCTTTTTAAGGATCTTTTTTTTCTGTGTGTTATGTATAGTAATAACAATTTTTCTGTCAAATGAAACGAAATGAAAATTGAGCGTAAGGAAGCAATTTTCCGGTCATTTGATTTAATCTATGTGTAACATATAACATACATTGAAGGGTTTGATTTTTATCTAGGCATAAACTAGATATCATAGTTATTATGAAGATTATATCTATGTTATTGCTAATACAAATAGATCTAGTCGTGCAGTTTTTTGAAAGTAATAATTTAAAACATAATATTATATTATCATGTTTGGACAAAAAAGGTAATTATTATATAACAGTTTTTTGTTATAGTCTTTCCAGACAGATTTAGTGAATCAATTTGACAAAGAGAGTACATATATCCTCGACACTGTTAAACAAAGTAAATAATATATGATATAAAATATACAAGTTTATAAAAGTTTTATTTAAAGTATTCGAAGACTAGTTTTGATCCTTCCTGGATATATTAAACAGTATAGCGTATTTAGTATGTTTTGTAAAATTCACTAGATTCAGTTAAAAACATCTGTAATTTGTAATTTTATAATTTTGAGTAATAAACATTTTCAGGAATCCCTTAATATATTTTACAGGGTGACATATTAATATGTATTTAAGGGGTTGATTCTTGGAGCTATTTTATGAAACAAACTTCATATGAATGTAGGTCCTAATACCTTAACTTTTCAGATACAGGGTGGTAAACTTTCCTAAAAAAATATTTTGTTTCATAATAACTCTGATGTTATTACAGAAATCTCTATGAAATTTGATACATTTCTTCCACGCATCAAAATGCTTTCTTTGATGTACAAATAATTTTATTTATTTCAACCAGT